GGAGTTCTTGGAGGAGTCAAGTCGTCACTGCTGGCTAACATCAAGCTCATTCCGGCATGCCAGCGTAACGCTGAAGCACTACTCAGCCGGATGCAAAAGGCCGTGCTTCTTGGGTCGCTCCGACTACTACGTGCGCACGACCCCAACTCACTGTAGCCGCCTATCTCGTGGTTCGAGCCGTGACTACAGTTTCATCTGGGCTGCAAGCATCGGAGTTATGACGGCAACACGCCTGAAGTTTTTGGCTGCTTGTGGACCAATTAAACAATTCATAATAATAATAATAATAATACAATATATTATAAAGTACAATTCATACTATTACATAAATTTCACATAATACAAAACAAAGGGTTCACCCAAAAAAATGATAAGCTACAAATAGATTACCCATTACACATAAGAAAATTTTATCACTTATTTGTAAAGAACATGAATCCATTGACAGAGTAAAAGGAGTGTGTATAAGACAATGCTTTATTAACTCCTGAGAATACGCAGTGCAAAATGAAATATTGGAAGATTATTATGAACCAGAGTGGATGTGGTCGTTAGAAAATGCAAAACCTACAGACATCAGTTAAAGAATTTGATAGTCAGTTGCATTACCGCTGTGGTAACATCCTCAATGTGTTTGCATTTGAAGACTGTTGTGCGTACACAGTTTTATTTATCAAATGTACTTGAACCTGCAATGAGCCGGGATAGCTCAGTCAGTATAGTGACTAGCTACGGGCTGGACGACCGGGGTTCGATCCCCGACGGGGGCAGAGGATTTTTCCTCTAGCCTCTGCGTCCAGACCGGCTCTGGGACCCACCCAGCCTCCTCTACAATGAGTACCGGGGTCCTTTCCCGGAGGTAAAGCCGGCCGGGGCGTGATGCTGACCACTCACCCCCATCTAGTGCCGAGGTCAAGGAAGAGAGGAGCTATACCTCCACTCACCCCAAACGCCTACATGGCGTATAGTGGGACAAACTTTACTTTACTTTACTTGAACCTGCACAATTCTGTAGTTATAAGAGGAAAGACTACAAAAGTCTTGTAGAATATCCCAGATTCATTGTGTTGTTCATACTGAGTCCTGGTTTACGTAATGGCGCCTCATTTGAAAGTTTTATCAACTACAAAGATTGGGTCCTTTTGGCCCGCTCTGATCCACGATCAGTCCAACTAGTCCCTCCATCTCTTAAATGTTCCTACTTTTCGATAGTAATCCAATCATGTCCGAAGAATTTTAACAGTTGGTATTCATTATCGACGTGTGTTCACAGTAATTCTGTTTACATTCCTCTGATTCTCTTCCGCACATGTCGAATGTATTTAATTCCTGTCTGTCGTAGTCACTTCTCATTTGATATGTTCTTCGGTAACTTTCCTCTGGTTTCTGAAACCTCATTTCAGCAGCTTCAATTTGTTGTAGAGGTCGCGCGAGAAATGTTTGCACATGCGCAGAGGACTGATTTTGGTCGTACGAGATGGACCCGTCCGAAGCACGCGCTAGAGGGGAGTCAGCTTCAGTTGGTGTGTAGCTCTAGCCGTGTTTAGTTCGGTGCGCCACCGCAGCTGACGCTGTGCGACCCCCCACTACTACTGAACTCCCCTCTCTCGGCTTACACATCGCGCATTTAGAGGCCACCAATACTCGCGCTACCTACAGCTGTTTTAGGTCAGGTTGAAGCATGCACTGAAATGAAGAAGTGATGTTATGGCCATTATTTTGTAGAATTTTTGGTATTATTTCCTGTTGGGGATTTATAAAGTAGTGTACGTTTAATAGTTC